CACACAAACTACAACCTATTACCCACACATCCACTCAGGCCTGCCGACTGCAAAACACAGACGTACCCGCCGTCACCGCGCCGCAGCGCTCCTCCCCAGAGCAACTACCCCACCGACACACAAGATCAACACCAGACCACGTCTATTATATATATATTATATACTCACATATACTACCACACTAACCTAAATAATAGCCACATCATGTAGTGTGCCTGTGACCCATATTGTCTACGTGCGCGTCGATGAATCACCACGTAAGAGATCAGACGAACACTGCGCCCCCGATCCACCAACCCCTTCATCACACAAACCTATCACCATAACACATCCATCACTCTACATCAATGCACAATACCTATCTACTCACGACTACACAGCCTAAAACACTCCAAACAACAACCCTCACACAAGCCTCCGTACCCACTACACAACCCAATCTCTCCCTCACCACATCCACCCAGCGCAAACATCCAACCCCCCCTCACACACACTCCCATAACAACACATACAATCCCAACCCCCTAAACATCCAACAATACACCCTCTCTGAACTCACCAACACACACCGAACACTCACTGCACACATCACTGAGTCACAATCCACTACCTAACGTGTATCAGTCGCATAACCGTACTGTATCCACGCTAGTCGTTCGTCACCTATCCATCAAGCCACACCTGAGTACAGAGTATTCGCGTGCATCAACCCTGTGAGCCGCCAACGCATGTACCATTCCGCTCGAGCCCACGTACCGCTGTTCGTTGCCACCTAACCACCAGTCACAACACACATCCAGGCCTACAACACCAGCCAACACGCACTCATAACTCAACTACCAGTACATCGATACCTTCTCTTAGTTGCTGTAGATAGCTGCTAGCTACACTGCCTAAATAACACCGACTTATCACGTCTTAGCTGAGACACACACAAGTGCTATATTCACCATTCATTATATGTACACTGACATACATACACAGAGTAAATATACATAAATGTAGATAGTACTAGAGTGCGTATATATACACATATATATAACATCACTCATGCATAGGACATTCTGCCGGTGAAAAAGGTGTCCGCCAACATTTTCCCAAAAATGACGTTTGAGTAAAAAAGTGACGAAGATAAAATGTTGTATCTCAAATAAAACACAAAAAAACGAACTGAAGAAGAACCAAAACAAAACCAGTTCCATAAAAGGAGCAAATTAAAAACAAGTAACAAGTATTTAAAAAGCAACCAACCCAGCCCCAATATAATAGCCTTCGGTAACGGACACCAGGGGAACCGCAGGGGAGCGAGCGGTGAGACCGAGCCTCCACGCCCCAGACGTAGAGCAGATCATCTCGTACAGAGAGACAACACTTACATCTGAACCTCCAAATATCCACACTCGAATCAGCACCAAGGCACCATCTCTAACTATGCAACAACAGCGCAACAACAACAGCAAGCCCTTTCCGATAAGCGATAAAGCAGAGTCGAGGTGGCCAGAAGGCAAGAGGGCGGCGGGGAGGGCCGAAGGAGACTGGAAGATGATGACATCTCAATTACAGGTGACCCAAGAACAGGCTATGCCCGTTCTAAACGGCTACTGAACAAGGCTCTTAGGTCGTGCGTGACACACAAACACTGCTATCATAACCATACTCCAGCGACACAACAAAAGACACCAGCAGCGAAAAGAAGCAATCAAAGACACACGACCTCACGACCAACACACAAGCACCCACCCCACACCACCCACGCACCACCCAACAAACAATCCCCTAGGACTAAACCACACGGCCCCCAACATAAGCGCTATCTTGATCCTCCCTTATCATTGCCTCCTCTCATAGATCCCTATCTCCTCAAGAGCCGAGAGAGGCCATCAGAACACCCCACTGCCAGCGA